GTCTTAGACTGTATTGCTTATCTGTAGTGGTACTGCATTTAACAGTGACTGAATCAGTGATCCGGTTCAAATCGTAACATTTTTTGTCTTTGTTTTTTGAATGCATAGTAAGTCTGAAATTCATCTTGAAAAAAAGAACGGAGCTGACAAATGCTATGTTTATTGTTGCGGAAACCACAGATTCAAATCTAAAACTTTAATTGATGAATTCTGATCTAATATTTGCATAAATTATAGCAGTTTTTGTAATGCAACATGTGCTGAACTTGGATTTCGTTGTGGTATTGAATGTGGTTCTGTAACTGCCGGATTGATCGGACAATTCAAATGGCATTATGACGTCATTGGCGCAACAGTTGAAGAAGCGATCAAAATTGAAAGTTCCGTATCTGATTGGTAAACGTTTTTGGCTTTACAATGTCAAAAGGAAAAAAAAATTTGATATTTGCTGCACTTTAATAATGGAAATAACAAATTGACCAAAAAAATAAAGAAGTTTTCCTTGCATTGAAAAGCTTTTGTTGCCATTTGAAGTTTTAAGTTTTTTATTGGCAGTTTTTTAAAAGATGTTTTTCTTTTTTTGCAGTGGCGTTTACGTAAGCGATAATGTACGAAGAAAAATTGAAGGCAGTTTTTTGACAGAAAATTGTGGAAATTATTGGAAAATATTACCTATTCAATCGGATGTTTTACCACAATCAATTTTGTTCCCAAATCTTCGTCGATTTTCTTTGGTCACTGTTCCACAAGCAATTAACAGGCTATTCCAAGCCATCTCTTCTTCAAGTGATTCTTTGCTGCGGAATAATGCGATACAAGGAAGAAGAAAAAAGTAGTATTTCTTGTTTCAATAGTTTGTCTAAAATTACATAGTCACTAGAAAAAAAAACATTTTTTATGTATTACACTTGTCAATTGTTACTGTGTTTATTTAACAGGACGTTTGTTGTTGCAGAAAAGCAAAAAAGTTGGTAATTCTCAGCGAAAAATGTGGAGCACAAAATGTGGAAAGAAGTTTTATGAATCCATATACTCTAAGATTTCGTAATACAGATATTGAGAACGCTGTAAGTAAAAGAAGTTTTATTTTTTGTGGTGTAGTCAGATATCAGAGGAGAAGCGACATGAAAAGGAGAAGGAATTTTTTTTTCAATGTCGAATTAGTGACCAGTAACTTTGTTTCAGTTTAATAGTCAATTTAATCAGTGGTTTGTTCCCGCACTTGCTGTTAGCATTCTTTTTTTGGTTGTCTACGGCATCTATCATATTCTTGTTCTCCCAAGGTAATCGTCTGTTTAAATTTATCATTGTTTTCAACAGGTTTACACGAAACTGCTCCAGAATCTATACTGTTATTTTTAGGCATATTGCAACATTAGCACTAATTATTGTTGCACTTATTGTAATGTTTACAATTCTTACAATGCTATACATCAACTATTTTCAGGTTTGTTGCACAGATACTGTATCTTTGTTGAACAACCATAGAAAATAACATACATTCGTTATAAAAAAATCATTGTTTTTGGTTTAGAACGAAAAAAAACAGAATGATCTTTAAAAGGTTAACTTGACTGTTTAGCCAGTTGCAAGACAAAGATAGACTCATTTCTCCTTCTGTTTTTTTTTTCAGCATTTTTGCCACTTTATAACTCGAACTGCTGTTGGTCATTCAGTTGCTGTTCTGTTTGTCATATCGTTACTGTTTGTTAGCGGTGTCGTCAATACAGTAAGTTTGGAATAGCAATTTGCTTTCTTTCTTTTGGAGAAGACTTTTCTTCGTAGTTTTTTGTATGGAAAATTTTAATTTGATGACAAGAAAAATTGCTCTCAGCCTTCAAGAAGCAGTGTATATAGACAGCTTTTTTTGTTTTTGCAGTTTTCATGTCCACAAAATAATACAACAAATCCGTTATCGGAATGTTACGTAGTACATTATTCGGTACTAAACTGTGCGCTATGGATGTTAACGTTGGTTGTATTTGTACGATTTCCATCATTGGCCCTACTTGGTTCACTTATTTTTGCCCTTATGCTCTACTGTCTTCATGCATTGATCACACATTCATCGTTGTACCTCAATTATTCAAAGTTAGTTGTACTTCTCTTTACCAATTCTTCCCAGTTAACTGTACATTAAAACTACATTGATGAAGGCGCTTAATATAATACTGATTCAGAGTGCTTTTTTCCTTTTTTTGAAAACTCTGATTTTGGTTTTTTTCATTTACTGTTACTATTTGACCTTGAATTTATCCGCTAAAAGAAAAAAATAGTTGAAAAAAAAAAAGAAAGCTGATTGAAATGCCGTTGGATACTGCAGACAGATATTAAATAAAAATGAGTTATGCTCAGGTAAATTAATTTTTTTAGGAAAAAAGAGCTGATAATTTGAATAGCCTTAAATGATCGAGAACTATTTTATTATTTTTTCAATCTTTAAAAAAAAGAGGTAATAACAATTGATTTGTACACCATTTTGAACATTACTATCATTTTGGTTGCAGTCTTTTCACTAAAAATTGTCAAAACTGATGAAATACGTAGGAGAGAAGGTAAGGGAGGGAGAAGGAGAAGAGATGAGAGAAAAAAAAAAGAAATCTCTGATTTGTTCATAAAATTTTAAATTATTAGAAAATCTTTTTTACTTTTTTTGCTAAATTATTTCAGTGATTAACAAATTTATGAACAAAAAGAAAGCAAAGAACGGAAAATTTTTACAGCCTTTTTATGCATGTGCTTTACTGTTTTATGCGAACTTTATTACCACTAAAATTGATAGGTTTTTTTTTTTTTTTGCTGATGACGTTGCTGTTTTTATTTCACTTTTAATTTGTGTTATTTTTTATACAATTCAAGCTAATTCATGAGTAGTCGTTAATTAGACGTTTAGACTAGCTTTTTTTTTTCGCCTGTTTACAGTAAGATAGAATAGGACAAATGAGAAGAATTGAGTAAGAAGAAAACTTGCTCAAATTTTAAGTGTTAAGGTTAAAAAAATTAAGTTTCTTTTGTTAATGTCGAAGAAAAGATTGTTGGTTATAATTTAGAGTTTATACAGTTTTGGCACAAATCATAATATGCATAGTTTGTTGAGCGATGGATGACGGTAAGGTAAATAAGCTGTCACTAACACAGTCAACAGTTATCACTGAGTGAACTCATAAACACACGTAGCAAGCATCAGTAATTTTACAGCAAATTTTTATGAAAATTTGTTGTTTAAAGTTAATATCTGTAAGCTATACTACGAAATCAATGCAAATAGAGTAATAAATTTTGGTCGGATATAATGGCAACATCAATTGAACAGTATCATTTTTAATCTGTAATCTTAGTTGGCATCTTTGTTGACACAGCATCGTATAGCGTATCACTGTCTTTGGATTACTTTACAGTATAGCTGCTGATAGTATTCCAGTCTAATAAAATGTAAATTTTATAATTTATAACGATAAATTTTACAGCTAAATAAAGTGAAAGAAAACTTAAAATCAGAATGAAAAACATAAGTGAGAAATATTACAGCTAGAAAAGTTTCTGAAAATTAAGCTTGAAAAACAGTTCGAAAAGATAGAATCAGTCATAGCTGTGTTTTTTTTTTTTTT